TGTAAGTCCAAAGACTTACTGCTGTCCCACCGAGGGGAATTGAACCAGTGATTTTAGCATTGTAAGTCCAAAGACTTACTGCTGTCCCACCGAGGGGAATTGACCCAGTGATTTTAGCATTGTAAGTCCAAAGACTTACTGCTGTCCCACCGAGGGGAGTTGAACCCGTGAAGACTTGGAACACAACTTCAGCCATTTTACTTGCACTGCTTTTTCAAGAAATTTTCAAGTCAAGATTTTTTTAACGCAGTGTTGGTCTTTATTCTATAGATTACATTTTAGAAAACTTTTTGTCCACGAACAAGAGAAGAAACAAATATGCATGGACAGTTACTAGTTTTACTAACAAACTTGTTAATAATGATTAAGTTCGCCAGATTTTTCGTTTAATTCAAGCCTATTCTAAATCACAGATTTGTTTTTATAACGACAATTTGAAGTTAACTATGTTTATAATCAAATGTTTTTCTAAACAAGATCGAAGTTTGGGGGTGATGGAAGAAGTATTCCAAAGGGAGTAAAGGAGCCTGGAACATCGTTCTCATAAAATGTGAATATCCTTTTGTCTTTCAGAAAAGCGTCATATAAATTCTTAGCAGCAGTAATACCAATAATAAATACAAAGCAAGTCTAACCAGTCGTTTGTTTTATTTTTATACTAAAAAGGATAAACCCAATATTTGAAGTAACTGGATGATTTTAAAATTAAAGCCATTAAATTTTTTTGTGTCAGCCTAATACGCGCTATTGCTTCACACCGAAATGTCCAATGTATCAAACTTCTGCGAAGGATGTCGAAATCAAACTTAGACCATCCATATTGACAAACTTTCCTTAGTTTCTCCATCTTTTGTTGAATCATATTTCAGGACCACATTTGAGAAAAACCAAAGATGCATAAGAGTCAACAGATGATAACTCAGGTGACTTTACAATTACGTCGGAGATGGGGATGGTATGAACACTGGTTTAATTTTATCCATGGGTCATTGAAACGCTGTTGTCAACAAATAAGAGTATTGACACTCCATTCATTTAGCCATATAATGCGGACGTTCAAGTACAGCCAGGCATGGCTCGATGTTGCAACAAACTTCCACCTCTAGCAAGCATGGCTGGGAATGACCTAGTGGTTAAAAGTGCAGGGCTCCGGACCTATACCTCCAAAGTTGGAGCCGTGATATGCCGCTGAATACACTCCACAATCTCAACTGTGGTGCGTTATAACTGTAACTTTCAGAATGGTTAAAGTGGCCGTGTAGACGGATGGGACTGTTGTTCTTCCTCTTATTAAAAATAGGCATGAACCTCAGTTGTTTCTAACCCAGCCATTTGGTCCATGTGTCACATAAGGTGCCAATCAGGTTGAAAATACGAAACACCACATACTTACTCACTTGCAAGGTATTTTCATACTTGTGAACTCGTGAATTATGCTTTTTTCAAAGGTGCAAGATCTTTATAAATTATCTCCCGCACAGATGGGTGGGATACGTGCAACTTGCTAATGAGTTTCTGAATGGACGCGGGGTATTCTGAACAACCAATCCGAGACTTTTTGGTGGTGATAGCAGAAGCACTGCATGTGACACTGTTTAGATGTTTTCATATCCTCATAAAGGTATGCTGATCTTTCCTTGCCGATGCTATTCGTTATATTATGGATATTCATCTGTGAAATTGGTATACCCAAGGCTTTGCACCTCTTTGGCATCAAACGAAACGGTAGTTTTGTAGGCAAGATAATAAAAAAGAAGGCTGTTGTTATATTTATCGCAAACTACATAACTGGGCTATCTTCGCTCTATCAACCGTGGGGAAACAAATTCTGGATTTTTAGCTGTTAATTCGGTAAACTTACCACTGACCCATCTGGGGATAAAATTATCGTTTGTTTGTTTTTAGAATTTCCCATAAAGCTACTCGAGGGTTATCTGCGTTAGTCGTCCCTAATTAGAAATGTTAGAGGGAAA